AAATATTGGTGTAGCTCCTTTCACTTCAATATCTAAGTCCTTTAACAATTGTATGTAACATGTTAACTCTGAACACAATTCTGACAATGCTATGAAGTCCACCTCAGCTGTGGAAATGGCAACCGAAGTCTGTTTTCTAGATATCCAACCAACAGTATATTTGCAAACGCTACAACAAATCTTGTCATTGACTTTCTATCTTGTACATCATTAGCCCAATCACTGTCTACAAAACTTTTCCATTCAAATTCATTTGATAGTTGCAAATGCAATCCAAAACCCATGTTTTCTTTTAAATGTAGTATTCTTTTAATTCCGAACCAGTGTTGTTGTGTAGGCTTTGAGCAACTAACCTTGCTTTATATTGTACTCCATCGAATGAAGTTTCAAAAGTTTCTTTTTGTACACCCATCTGCATCCTTTCTCCCTCTGGAAACCCCATTGGAGTGAAAACTGTTTTTGCATAGACAGCATTTATCTATAGCCTGTTTCCATTTCTTTTGTTCTGCTAGAAGTAAATTGAATACTTCCTGGTAATTTGGGGGCTCATAAAAATGTCACATACTTTTTATCTCATCAACTGTGAATCTTTCTGGAGAAACACCTTTGTTTGCTCTTTCAGACCTCCTTGGAATAAATGGTTCCTGTTTCACTGGAATCTAACTCTCCAAACATTCCCCTGAGCTATACACAAACCCTAAGCTACACTTTGATTCCTGTTTAACTTGCCTGTGTGAATGTTCATTGGAGAACTTTGACTAACAGGCATTAAAATTTCAGTACTGGCATGTACCTTTTCCCAATTCTCTGTTCTGAAAAATTTGCAGAACGTGAGATAATAACATTTACAGGTGGACACAAAAAAGTCTTTGATCCTGATTGATAACCTACAGGTGAAACTCGAAAAATTAGAATATTGTGCAAAAGTTCATTTATTTCAGCAATGCAACTTAAAAGGTGAAACTAATATATGAGATAGACTCATTACATGCAAAGCAAGATAGTTCAAGCCGTGATTTGTCATAACTGAGATGATTATGGCTTACAGCTCATGAAAACTCCAAATCCACAATCTGTGTAAGTTTCATTACCCTTGCCTTTGGCTTTCTTCCTCATTGTGTTGGGAATGTGCACCCATGCACTGTTGCCAAAGATTCTTAAATGTACCAAGGATGGTTGTCTTTTATATAACATGTAATATGGAATTTCATTAATTGCTGAACTCCATAGTCTATTGGCCAAATAATTGGCAGTTGAAATTGCCTCACCCCAATATAGCTTACTCATTCCTGCATCTGCTAGTAGTGTATCTTTCATGGTTTTTAACACACCATTTCTGCATTCAGCAATTCCATTCTTTGCCAGAGTGTAGGGGTTCATTCTTCTATGGGTTATGCCTTTCTTTCTCAGCCACTGCTGAAAAATGTTAGACATGAACTCTGTTCCTCATGAACTCATACCCTTTGATTATACTCCTCTCTACAAACATTACCCATTGCTTAAATTGTTGAAACAGTTGTTTTGCTTTTTAGTAAATAACAATACCCATATCTTGAGAAATAATCAACAATTACCAAAGCATTTGGCCTCTCCCATTGATGGAGATAGAAGGCCAATTAAATCAGCATGTACTAACTGAAAAATCCTGTTAGATTTCCTATCATTTCTTTTGCTGACAGAGTGTACCTTCGATTTGGTTTCTTTGCAAATAGCACAAGCCAAATAGTTGTCACAATCTTTTACATTCCAATCTACAGCCAAGTCAGGCATTTTATGTAATATTTTAAAGTTTGCATGATCAAGTCTTCTGTGTAATAAACGTGCAGAGCCATTATGCTTTGATTCATTAGAAATTATTGTTTGCACACTAGTTTTCTTGTGGTTCAAAACATATAAATTGTTCAGTTTCGAACCTTGTGCACACACCCTGATAATTCTTTATGACTTTGCATGTACCCTTTGCAAAAATTACCTCATACCCTTCATTCTTCAAGCAAGACACACTCAACAAATTGCGATCTAAATCTGGTACACAAAACCTTATCAAACGACTTACCAATCCATGGTACATATACTTGCCCCTGTACAAAAGAATAATTACCATTTGCCAGGTGTACATATTCCTGGGCAGCTGGTCCCAGACTAGAAAAAAGGTTATTTACAATATACTCACTTGCCCCACTATCCAACAATCAAATGTCTTTAATGCCTTTGTTGTTTGCCTTCACCACAGAAATCTGTGTGTTTCCCTTCTTCAGTTGTTTTGCTGTCTCTCTCCTGTTTCTTTCTTTTAATCTTTTTAGTGGGCAATTTCTCTGGATATGTTGAGTTGATCCACAAGCAAAGCAGCATTTTTAGTACACAGAATTTATCTCCCACCTTGTTATCTCTCTGGAATGCAGATCTTTTTTGACTGAGCTACAAATTACTATTGTTACTCTCAAGTGCAATGTTTCTCTCTAATCTTTTCTGTTCTTCTTCCAAAAGCCTCCTGGTTACATAATTCAATTAAATCACGCTTTTTCATGGGCTCAAAGCTTGTTATTACTAACATGTCCCATGTATCATCAAGGGAATACAGCACCATATACTTTGTGTGCTTCTGAAAACACCATTCCTCGCTCTTCTAATTCAAGGAAAGTTTCCTCATGAACTGGAGGTGATCTGACAGATTTTCTCCAGCCTTGCTCTATAAAGTTTTCTGGTGAGAGTTACTTTGCAGCTTGCCATCTCCCTTACATAAATTCTGGGTAATGCAAGGCAGTATTCTCTAGCAGATGTGAGCCCATGTACATGTATTGCCTGACTATCCTCCCAGCACAAAATTATGCTGGCTAGCGCTTTTCCATTTAGCTTTTGCTATTCCTCATTAAGATTTGCTGGAGGATTGCTTGCAGCTTTCTACAAATCCTCCTTCCCAGACACATCTCCATATTTACGCTCCATGAGAAATAAATCATCCTAATTAGATGAGCCAAAGGAAATCCTCCTCCCATTCCTGTAACATAGCATCATGCTGTCTGTACAGGCCAACAATCCTCAACCTTTCTCACAAAAAAACCCTTTATTTCAGAGAAATTTTCTACTGTCACTTCAGGGAGCTTTTGAGTCCCAAAACCTGTTAGGGAATTGTGCAGCAGCTATCCAAATGGAGTCAGAGATGCTAACACGATCTTGTAATTTTATATAAATAAATATATTTAACATCTATATTTACAACAAATAAGATAGTTAGGCATAGCACTACACCAGGAGGTAAATCACAGAATAGCCTACAGAGAATACAGAAGAAAAAAGCTGGGAAAAAGGGAAATTCCCCCTTTATATCCAGCAATCAATCATAATGTAGATTGCCTCATGCAGAAGCCCACATTCTCCAACCAATCAACTACCACTATGTCTTCTGACCCATTATCCATTTTACTGTTCTAGCCAGTAAATATCTTAAAACATTGCTTAGATAATACTTTTTAATTCATGAGTTCTACCCTATATTTGATGCACAAGAAAAAAAAATCAACTTTATTTTGACACAATGCTAGCAATTATTGATTCAAATGTGATCAATTTTAGGTATTTATAATTTTATTCCCGTATTTGTGCCAAGACTACATACATTTACTATTTATAATTTAAAATAAAACAATATTACAAGATGTAAAATAACAAGAACCTCCCATAAATGTAAAAGTAGGCTATGTCATGTCTATAGGCAATTTATGTTATGGACACCTGTTTTGACGTTCACCGATTTTCCATGAATCTCATTTTAAAGCACAGGTGTCAAACATTTTCTTTATTCAAAACTACATCTCTGGACTTCCATGTAACCAACCGTTCGTTTAGAAATGTGTCCACATTTTCCCAGGTAAAAAACAGGATGTTCTGAAGAGCAGGGGAGGTAAGGAGAAGCACTGTCCTTGATTTGTAAATCAAATGTGTAAATGGACACCCTGTGAATCACCCTGCCCAAATGATAGGGTGATTTTCTCAAACTGCCTGATCCCCCCACCATCAGTAGCCAAAATCCATTTTCAAGTCCAATGCCATTAATACTAAAATTGGGGCTAGTCTAATTCCTTAGGTTAGGGAGTTCCCCTGAGATTTTAATTATATTACATGCTATTACATTGTCATTTTTCAACAGCTTTAAGGCACTACCGAGCTCATAACAAATTGGTAGCTAGGTCAGAAAGAATGAACCTGTAACAGATGTTTTCTTTGTGGTTCCTTTCTTATAACTTTCTGGTATTTTATATATATTGCACTATACATAAAGTGCTATACTTTAGAATATATCTAATTTGAGTTATACTATAAAACACTGAACAGAACATTCAGAATGAAATAGTGATGCCACTCTTAGACTAGAGGTTTCAGAATGTACCATGTAGCAGATAGAACCCCAACAACTCTGGAACAGAGACAAATACTTCTTAGTAGAGTGGAACACAGAACTTAGAACATCATTTACTATGTGAAAGGCAATATGATACACTTCATGTTGAATTTGCTCCAAGCTTGTTAGAGATGGAAGTAACTGGAGCACTAACAGATTATTTTCTCAATGGGAGATCAAGAAAAGCTAGCAAATGAATTATAAGCTCCGCTTAACTGTCGATATGCTGTCAAAATAGAACAAATCATATCACCATTGGTAATGTACTATGAAGATACAACACACATACTTTAAATAAACACATATGCCCATAATTAATTGTTTGGGCTCTATACAAGGAGATGATACACTCATGCTTCAACTGAGATAAATGCAAATTAGCATTTGATTGTTTTCAATATATTTTTATGTTTGGGTAACTTTGGAGAATCTTCATCTAAGCAGCTGTCTGAAAATCCTGGGGCACAGCCCGGATAAACTTGTTTTGTTAATGATCTTGCTTTTTGCTGGCTTCAAATAAAAGGCAGGTCTTTTTCCTGGCGTTCACAAGCTGAAACTAAAGCAAAACACATTGTCTTCTGCCTTTCTCTCTCTGCCCCAGTGCTGCAAGCTGTGGACCGAAAACAACAGAATGTCCTTCAAAGAATTTCAGAAGGAGCTCAGTGCTGTTGGTTACAAATTATGGCTTAAGCTCCAGAGACTACCCAAAGCTGACCCACTGGAGATTGTCTGTTTTTTTATTATTATCTTATTCATTGGTAAGTATCCAGTTTCCTGTTGCTTGCAACAGATCCAGGCTCAGCTACTGTGTTTGATAGGAGCTCTAAATAGTGCTGCTTCATAAGCTTATTTTGTAATTTAAATATTTTCTGATTTGTTAAAGACTATAAAGTTCAGAAGGAACTAAATGCTTTAATTTAGAATGGGAGTTTAAAGTCTTTATGTATAGTGCAATACAGCAAAGCTTTCAATATGGTAAAATGTATACAATATTTAAATTAAGTTTCTCCAACTGGATGGGTTCAGATATGCAGGACTACAATGCCTACTATTCAAAATCAGCATGGTCAATCAATATAGTAAGAATTATGAAAATAAGGCTTTTGATTTAAAAACTGTATTAGCATATTTTTTGTTCCAGGTTATGAACACTCTCTAAGCATAGATAATGACTATTTGTTTAATGACTATTAATAGTTATAACAGTGGTGAAAAAGTAACTTTACAACCAGTTCTCACATCTATGATCTTTGCTGGGTTATAAAGAAAAAGAAAGCTGAACTAACATCATAAGAATGGTTTCCTTTAACAACCGCTTTACTTAATGACCAGGTAGCCAGTCCCAATTGTGACCACTAAGCAAGGACTACCTGTAATTTTAAATATGCATATCTCAACATTATATTAAAGCATACATAATTATAACTGGACATTTATCAATGTAAAAAGAAGGGATACTTGAAGCATTAGAAAGCAGATTGTGTGGAGCAATGAAATGTCTGTGATTATATTTCCATGGAACATATTTACTTCTGAAATATTCTAATAACATGTGCATATTTGAACCAACTCCGAATTAGATCAGGAGGAGTAAAACAGTTCATGGAACAAATGAACATTTAATTAAGGCCTGTTAATTTTTAGGAAGATAACCATTAAATAAAAGCAGCTGAAGAATAAGTTGAAGTGTGAAAAGGAGAGGCAGGCAGACAAGCTTGAACAAATCTAAGTAAATTGTTGAGTCTATTCCTCCCCTTCTCCTGTGTGGTGAGAAGATTTATTACAGTGGCAAAGGAAAGAGGAAAACCTGGGGTTGTGGGAGGTGAAACTAAATTCACTAAAATTCTCGTCTATGTAGAAGGAGAAGGGTGGGATGCGCATAAACACAACACTTTGCTTATACTTTTTCTACACCAGCTATACCTACCTCTCCCTCCACATCTCCTCACTGAGTGTGGCAGAGAGCAAAACAACAATTTTAAGCCCAAGAAGCTCAACAATTAAAAACACTAAGCCACAATTTATAATTTGAATATCAAAAGTAATAATTCTTATCAGCTATCATTTTGTTGGCATTATAAGCAATCTCAGAAATTACTTTCTAAAGCTACATCTGGACTACATCTGCTACACTCACTGCACAGTGGGCTGGACTGGTTCTAATTTCTGATCCATTTCCAAAGCCAATATTCTTTGTCTCCTTTCACCTTTCAGCTACGATGCTTTCAATGATGATTATAGCTTGCAGCTTTTGCTGCGGCTGCTTCTACAATGGAAAACCAAAAGAGAAGGCCAAAAGGATTGAGGTTCAGCCTGCAGATGATTTATAAAACTGAATTTTAAAAAGAATACAGAAGTTGGGGAAAGACTTGGAATGACTACAACATGGCATACTAATCCATGGAACATAATGGTAAATGAGGAGATAAAGTAAGAGACAGAGAAAAAGAGAGAAGGAAAAAGGGATCGAACCTGAACATAGGACTCAATTTTACGGCATTTGACATGTTGACAATGCACCGTTTGCAATAGTTTTCTCTCCTCAACCTATCAAGACAATAGAATTTTAAAAATTCCAAGTGTAAAATCTGGATAAACATGCAGAAGAAAGTTGCACCAGATTTCATGTCAACATTACAGCTGAGGAAGCCCCAGACAGATCAAGATATACGCAAGCATTCAGCAGAATGAAGTCTAACATAAGCATGGTTTCCCCTCTGTTCAACCATTTAAAGCTAAGTTAACCAGAGACACGATAGCTAAGCAAGTCACGCATTTGGAAAATGAGGCAGGCTTGTAGATGACAAACAAATTCAGAGACAGCAAAGAAAAGCAGCAACAAATTCTCTAGTCTTCCTTTCCTCCTTAATAAAAGAATAAACAACTGTCAGAGCACATATGCTATTCTGGCTGTATACCCAAGGAAAGCTGAAGGGATACGATAATGCTCACAATCGTGTATTGTTTCTTGTCTTTAAAAAATTACTGTCTTTTTTAATGTTTTGGTGTCTTCTGTTTAAACTTTGTATATGACAAATCCTTAACTCAAAGGGAACAAAAGAATCATTTGACTTTATGTTGGGGTTAAGAATATGTCCTCTACAAATACTCTTACGAATAATTTATAGTTGTGGTGGGTTCATGTTATATTTAAGGCAATTTTAAAAAGGCAACTCTTGGATTATACTCAAGGAGAAGGCATGGTAACAGGAACTCTTCCTATCATTCAGTGAGGTTTAGTTTAATGCCTTGCTCCCTTTATTGGGAGCACTGTGAGAGAGATCAGAGAGATCAGACAAGAGTACAGCGAAAGCAGGTTTCATTCAAAAAATGAGCACCACAGCTGGACAACAGTATTATGTTAAATGGTACAGCAAAAACATAACTAAGAATGAACTACCCAGCTACAGCTTACAGCAGAATATAAATCCCTTTCCAAAGAGACACTTTTTGCTTCAATTGATTTCAAAGAGGGCTACATGTGCACAAAAGAGAAACAATGGCACTTGACCTGTTTAAGTGGAAATAGAAAAGTTGGTGGTAGATAACAGCATATTTGCTGTTCTTTCGAGGTGTTGGGACTATATCTGTCATCACCCACAGTTAGACTGCTAAGACTCCTATTGTGGTAATAGTATCTCATTTACCCCAAAGTGATTTGACTCAGAATTTAACATGAAATAGGGCTACCTATTACCACAGTACAATCTCATAGCTACCTAGTAATATCCCGTGAATCCACATTTCTGAATTATATAGATTAATAAACCCTTATTCTGGTTCACTTTAAATATGCTAAATATATGCCATACCTCAATTAAAACTCCGCACCTTTCCCACTCAAGCTTAGAATAATGTACCAGTTATATATTGTGTTGCAAATATTTAATTTTTCCAAATTTCTGCAGTGCCAGGCAAGTTGCAAAACCAGATTTATCAAACATCTAACCGAGTTGTCATGCAGTGTTGCTGCATTAAGGTCCAACGGAAGTTGTTTTTCTTAGTGGAGGGATGACAAACTTACGGTCCAGACATTTAGAACTATAATTGGGAAGAACCTCTGTCAACGTAAGTAAAGAGGAGAGATGCAAGGTGCTGCATTTCAGAAACATCTGCCAGCAAGTTCTATTTCTATATGCTATGAAGAGTGATGAAAAGCCTCCAGTATATTTATTTTGGGTGTGCACTGTTTCAGAAGTCACTCCCTTGTGCAAATGACAGGAATAAGAAAACAGCGTCAGCAACCACAGAGACACAGAGATTAACTTGATTCCAAACATGGCTGCTTTTTTATAATTGCACAGCTGCCAGACTGTGGAGAGAACAAGGCAGCCACGCAAAATGATCCCATAGCCAAATCATTGCCCAGCATTTCCAACAATACAATGATAGTGCGCTAAAGAAAAAAGATCTGTACAATATTCTGAATCTCCCTTAAGACTATAATAAATTTAAACCAAGTATTACACTGGAAAAAAATGCTGGATTAAAAGAAACTGAAACCAATGGGAGACTGAAATAACTGTTTTTAAAGATTAGGGAGGAAGTCTTCCAGGAAAAAGTGTTCAACTCTTTTATAGGACATATCTGCTTTTCTCAGAAATCTGTTAAAGAGATTTTTTTTTGGGGGGGGGGAAGCAAAAGTATGTATTATATTTAGAATGGCCTTGCAAGGAAAAAAATAAGCACCTTTTTTGAAATACTAGTTCCACTTATCTTCAATGAAGGCATGTGAAACAATAAATACTTTGTTTCTGAAAAAAAAGTCTAGTGTGTACTTATTTGTCATCATTCACACCTTCATTTTGGATGGGTTACTGTGGCTTTAAACTTCTATAAAATATTTATTACTTTAAAGTGAATTTATAAAACACATTCAGCACCAAAAGATAAATAACTGCCTGATTCTTTATAGAATATAGACAAAATCTATAAAAAGGTAAGAACAGAGTCATTCTTTTGCTTTTTTATTCTCCAAATATATTAAAATTATTACAACTAAGTGGGTGTTTTATAAGGATTTGGGATTTGAAGCAACTGCTGTTGGCAAAGTTGTTGTCATTTTGTAGGAAGTTCTTCTGGGATTCCAAAAAATCCTGAAGGCTCACAGATGAATTTTTAGAAAGGTTTTTTTGTTGCTTCTATCTGTATTAGCTGAATGTAGTAATAAATAAAAGATCCTTTTAAAATAAAATATGTACTACTATAAGGAAGCTTCAGGTAAATGGAGTCACTAATGTGCAGATAAATGACAACATTTCAAACATTCAAAGAAAGTATGGCCCTATATTAGACAAATTATTACATTTTACTTAGCCCCTCCTCATTCCAAACCAGATTTAAGGCAAAATTTGAAAGTAAGACTACTTAGAAGCAGGCTGAATCCAGCTATTGTGTAATTTTCAGTCTTTAATCAGTTCACTTTACATTTGCTGATTCAATGCATAATTCATATGTTTTTTTCAATGAAAACAAATCAAGGAAATTACAGTAAAAGTGAAAGTGGCTTTAAAATGTTGTCTTTTAAAAAAATGACATTTCAAACTAAGTTAATTAGCCATGTCACTTTCACTTAAAAAGTGAAATGCTAATTATGGGAAATTTCTGTTTGAAAGGTAGAACATTAACATTTGTGAGACACAGGAAAAATTATGCTCAACAGTATCAGCTGACAGGTAAATGGATCCTAGTGTGGTGGCCCTGGGCTTCCCAGATGTGGTGGGGTGGGAAGGTAAGAGCCTCCCAACCTGCAGCAAATTTTCATAAACTGGTTCGCAATATGGTTTTCCCACCACCCGAAGCACCCCACACTCCAGTAAACGACCCACAGGGTCAATTATTGACTGCAACTGGGAGAGCCTAGAATGCGGCCATTGAGCAAAGCAGTAGCATGGGTATCTTGCTTAATGACTGCTTGGTTCAACAAACAAAATCCCCATTCCAATTGTGGTGGTAAGTCAAGAACTACCTCTTCTAGTGACTTTCTTCCTTTCTTTTCATACATTTTAATAGTTTATTTAAGTATAAAATACAAAAAGAAATTTTAAAAAGTCATAGTAACTGGAGGGAGAGGAAAAGAGAAAATATGGAATAAAGAGAAAAGGCACCGACTTCCAACTCTCTTTAGCACAGAAGATAACATTATAGCCTCAATGTTTTTTACTTTTAAACAATATACTCACCATTAGTATAGCAACAAACCTATCTAATCAGCAAAAGCAAAATCAAAGTTTCATTTCCCCCCCCATTGCAAGCACAAAATCCGGAAGCAATTTCCAAATAGAAACAAAATGAAATATAATCTCTTCTTGGGATAAAATAATCAATTTAACAACCTCTACTTCTCCTTGCTGTGGGGAATAGTATCTAGAGATCTGATTCCTATAGCCATCTCTAAGCGTTTCTACAGGTTGTCCGCGACACATGACTATAATAGAGCCTACCCATTATAGTCACAAGTTGTAATGGTTGCAAAATAGGTCAGTCCTGTGACTGACCCGATTTTACAACATTTTTTTGTAGCAGTCGTTAAGTGAACAATGTGGCCATAAGTGCAAATTCTGCAGTCATTAAGCAAATCCTTTTTTTTTTGCCACGGCATGCTTTTGTCAAAAACTGAAAGTAAGTGCTGGGGTTGTTTTTTTATTTTTTGGCAAAACCTTTGTAAAATGCAGTAACGTGACTGCAAGAACCTGTAAATTGCTGCGTAAATGCAGCCATGTTGTCAAGCACCCAAAATTTGCTCACATAACCAGTGAGGGGCTTTGATTGTTGGAAGTTAAGAATCTGGATCATAAGTAGCCTGAAGGTAGATCCATTGTACCTTTGAACAGCCGCTAAGCAACTGGCCATAAGTTAAGGACTACCTGTATTGTTTGATAATTACTAGCCTAGAAATAACTATGAAGTATTTTTTAAAGCATTGTCAATTAAATAAGTGTACATATACGTTTCATTTCCTGCATTCTTCAGGGCCTGGAAACAATACCAACTGCAAAGCAAGCAGCTTTTCAATTTCTAGAAGATATGAAAATACAGATTCTGATGGATGATTGGGTTCTTGGGGGACTAGTGGTGATAGTGTCATTCCTCATTATCATTACTGTCCTCATTTTGTTTGCTGTGATTTTTGGCTGCTGTTCAACTGAAAGGAATAAACGAAGTTCTGGGTAAATCATCAGATCACTTGCCTTTACGGTATTTCAACTACAGAGTGACTGAGCAGTGTAAAGAGCTTCTTCTTCTTGCTATTTTATCTTTTGAGTTTAGAAATGAATGTATCAAAGAAGAAACTGGTGCTGCTAAAGCACAAAACCAATTAGCATCTGAAGGATGACTTCAAGTGAAGTTTGCATTAAGAAACCCTATTTCTGCTGGTTTTTGATGCAAGGATGGTGTCTATTTGCAATGGAAAACTAAACAATAAATGGCTGTGGTTTCAGAAATCTACGTTTAATCTTTCAAAAGGCCAGTTCTATACTTCAGATTATGTCTAATTTTTCTGAAAATTGTCTACTTAACTTTTTTCTCTAGCAAACTTTTTAAGTGTGAGAGGACCTGAAAATTGGACTGTTTATAGCATCTGTTATATCTGAAATCAATTTTATGAACAAAAAAAAAATCAAATTGTTATTTAAAATAAAGAATAGCCTTACCCTTTATACAATCTATTTTGTTGTCCAAGTGAATATATAGTGTAACATTTTTCATACAGCATATGTACAGTCTTACATACACAAAATGGATTCTTTCATGGGTACTTGGATGTTATGTCTGAGTATTCCATAGGGCCATGTGAATGTTGATTTCATAAAATTTTCACCAACAATTTGGAGGCATTATGGAGAGTTAGGATTATTTCCATAACAATGAAAACATTCTTCTCATTCTAATGGGCCTCAAGTGCCATTCATTCAATATATAGCCAAATCTATATATACGTTATCCCAACCAATATGTAACCTAGGTCCAGAGGTGGTATTCAGCAGGTTCTGACCAGTTCTGGAGAACTGGTAGAGAAAATTTTGAGTAGTTCAGAGAACCAGTAAATACCACTTCTGACTGGCCCCACCCTCATCTATTCTCTGCCTCCCTCGCTTCTTTTGTTGCCCTGCACAGGAGAACAGAGCTGGAAAGCAGGTTAATGGGGTGGGGAGGAAATGGGGATTTTGCAGTAACCTTCCCCCAGGAGTGGGGTGGAAATGGAGATTTTACAGTATCCTTCCCCTGCCGCGGCCACCAAGCCACGCCTAGAGAACTGGTAGTAAAAATTTTTGAATCCCACCACTGCCTAAGACCACTCAAGAATAGGAGAAAAAAATGACCTAAAGCAGTCATAGAGATAAGAAAAAGCATCTGTTATAAGAGTAATCTCCATTCTCACCTATATTTAGTCAACTGTCATAAAAACTAGGATTGGGCAACAATTCAAAGGATATGCCGTTTGGGGCACAGATGAACATACTTGTACCAAGTGCCTGAAATACTTTAAGCCAAATGTGAATTTTCCTGAGTTTGCATGCCATCTGTAGATGGCAGCTGGGTGTCCCAGGAAAAATTGCAGTTGCTTCAAAGTGTTCTTAACAGATGTGACGTATACATACAGGAAGCTCCTGATTCAGATTTGCTCTTCAATTTAAATCACTACCATAATGAAAAGTACGTAATTAAGTCCCTGAAGGAAAATTTGCTTTATGTTGTTTTTTTTCTACATATACAGTATATGAAAAAATTATTTTTGTTCAATTATCTTTTCTATATGTGTATGAAAAATCTATTCCTTTCAATCAGTGTGGCAGAGTAGGCATAACACCTGACTAAAACCAGGGACATCAAGTCTATAATTGGCCACAGAATACTGAGTAATGTTGCCCAGATATTATCTTTCCTACTTTTATTGTAACTTGCCTCAAAAAAGGTAAGGTGAATACAGAAACACATTCTAACTTAAGTTATGGGAAGAAAACATACAAAATATATGAAACTCCAATAGCTTTATAAGTAAGTCCCCACTATTCCAAGATTTAGGTAGCAACTCCCCCCAAATAATTTATTTCAGAATAGATCAACTCATCTTACAAGTCTTATTCAACATCGGAATGGAAGTAAATAAAGTAAATATATGAAATGACACTGTAGTACTAATGAGCAACAATTATTCAAGAATAATGTAAACAAAATTGTGTTATCTTCTTGTAACCTTATTCTACCACAGCAGTTACCATCATGTAGGCAACTTGGGCTGATCTTGAAAAAGTAAAACAGTGTAATACTTGGTCAGCATTTGGATGGAAAGCCACCAGGAAATTAGAAACCGAAGGAGTCCTTAGTGATCTTTGAATTTGGTTGTTTGCTTGCAAACATGTTATTACCTAACTATTCAAGCACTGATCATCCTACCTGCCATATTTTTCAGTCTATAAGACGCATCTCCCTCCTAAAAAAGAGGGTGGAAATGTCTGTGCATCTTATGGAGCGAATATTGTGGTGGTGGGGCAGCGGCAGAGATCCCTGCCGCCTAGAACAGCTGATCGGTAGTATTCTGGGAGGCTAATCCAACCACCAATCAGCTGCTCAGCAGTGAAAGCTCCAGCGTTCCCGGCGGAGGCAGCAATGGCAGCATTTCCGGTTGCCAGCCCACTGATCGGCAGGGCTATGGGAGGCTGGGATCCAACTGTCGCTCAACTGACCTGCGGTGGGCACAATGGAGCCATGTGCTGGGGCTGCAATAATGTGCTGAAGCTGACCAGACTGTTTGCTGTTTGCTGCTAGGATGAGTACCAGATGAATATTGGATGGATACTGGGAGGCAGAGGCAAAAAAATTTTTCCTCCTCTAAAGCTAATGTGCATCTTATGGTCCACAGCATCTTATAGACCAAAAAAATACGGGTAATATTGGTAATGAAACATCTGCAAGTAAACAACCAAGCTTACAGAGCACCTAGGACTCCATAGTTCAACTTCAAGCAACATACATTCTTTTCTATTGAAATTTGAAGTTGTAGACTAGATTGGAAAGTTGCAAAAAAATCCTGGAAGAAACCAATGGCAACCTCAAACTATTGCCAAAATAACCATGCAAATACTACCACAAAGTCTTAGTTTTTATACTTATTCTACCATAATATGGATGAAGCTAACAAACTAGTGCTCTGTAAATGAATGAAATTTGTCATGATGTTTCTTCAGCTGAATGAAGGTACAGAGAAAGCTTTTGAACCTCTTTATTACAGACCCAGCCTTCGATTAAAACCCCCAAAACTAAGTAAGAAAATGTCTCTTCTCTATCCACATGTAATATCAGTCCTGCCCACCATTATTGCCTGGCATCTCTGTAATACATTAAATGCCCTCTAGAAATCCAACAACGGCACACTAGACTACAGACAAACCTATATTTTCCTATATTTAGCATTATACATTACTGTCTTACTGGAAAAGTAAGTTCCTCATGGCTCCAACAGCACAATTTATTTTAAATATAGAATTTATTTTTGTACAGGTTGTAATTTCTACACTAATTACTGAATATTGCAGCTACTATTTTATATAAGGAACATTGGTAACTATGGAACATCCAACTTAATTTTTCACCCTCAAGCTGTTAGGCTTCACACCCTTTTTTTTTTTCAAAGAAAAGAAGCTTCCCAAAAATAGTAAAATAGAGGTCAGGTTTCTCACAGATCTTCTGAAGAAAAAAACTGATAGAATACAGGCCTCTTGTGTGTGTGTGTGTGTGTGTCTATATATATATATATATCTGTAGCATAGAACAGAAAGCCTTCCAACCCATCCGAGTATCCATCCATACTTACACAAGATTTTCAGAGAAGGCGACCATAGCCTCAAAGTTTTTCATCACAGCTTTATCAGACTCCTTCAAAGAACCCCGTTTCCCCTGAGGAAACATAAAACTGAATAAACAAAGCTATCTATGTCCTGAAGCACTGAATTCAGAAAAACATTTATTCACAACAATGTCACATTATCCTTAGTTGCATAATGAACAAACAAATACGCATTTTATTTAAACCCTGTAAAAGTACTGCAGCAATTTGAAGTATACTCTTTATGGGTATACGTCTCCTTCATATAAGATTGCAGCAATTAAGTCTTCTTCACTTTTTTCTCAGTATTATTATCAATTACAACGTATTACTTGTGAATAAATAAGAGGAGCCAGATGCGTGTGGATGTGGCTCTTTACTTTTTGTAAGGCTAGAATGTACCTCCACATTAAATTTGTCTTTCTGTGTATTTTCTATGTTGTTCTAAGAAACATAACATATGTAAGAAATCAACAGAAAAAAATTTGGATGGTACTATGTAGCCATGAAGCAGCAATAGCCTTCAGATATGTTTTTTGGGAAATGTATAAAAAACCTGGAAACAAAGCTATATTTCAGCTGTGCTATGTGGGAAGTAGAACCAACAAAAAGAATGGGAAACCACAGGCAGGTTCATTATGCATGTTGCTAGGGAGGAAGTAACATAAGTTTTTAATGCATTCTAATCTGAAGATAAGCAGTCTGATAAGCAGAACCTGCAAGTGTTGAGAAATCTGAAAATCACTGTGCATCGTAAAAGAATGTTAACAAGGAAACAAAGGGGAGGCGAAGGTATTAATGCCCCCATAATATTTATAATATTATAGGTTTTTTTTAGCATATTCTTGCCAGACTGGGCAATTATGTGACTAACCTTTCACTAATTTAGTATTTGTTGTCCTAGATCAAGCAATTAATTTTGCAAATTCAATGAGATGACACAAGTTAAGCTACTGTGGTTTTTCCTCAAAAATACAACCTACTCAGAAAGTAAGGCCTTGCTTGATTTTTACACATGTGACCTACCCCCCAAATAAGCCCTAATTAAGACATCGCCCACTCCTAGGTGCACAGGTAAAAATTAGGATGGGATGGGGGTGGTGGAGCTGCCCTACTATTTACCTTAGGATAGTTGCAGCCAGGCCTCGCACAATTCAGGCCGTTTCTTTTGCTGAAGCCAGCAAGGCTTTCCTGAAGGACTCCATAGCCGATAAGAGAACTCTGGATCAATCCAGAGCTCTATTATCGGCCGCAGAGGCCTTCAGGAAAGCCTTGCTGGCCTTGCCCAATGAAGAAGCTCCTGAAGGCCTTTGATAGTGAAAAAGAGGCCAGTGATTATGTGCACAAGTGAGGTCAATTAATGACATCCCTCCCAAAAATAAGACCTGGTGCCTTTTTTGGTAGCCAAAAAATATAAACATGGGGAAACAGGGTATGTAAATTCAATACACCCTTTGGAAGACAGCAATTCAAAGATTTACCATTTGATAGCTCTTCAGAAGTATTTCAAAAGAAATACAAACTCTGTACTGATTTGCAAATTCTGGAAGGTTTAGAAAGAGTATTGTGTTTTATTGATAATATCAGGATTAGCAATTACAAGATAAAAGAATTACACAAGTTCTGGAATGGTGTGAAGAAAGAAATTTGAAGTTCAATAAGCAAAAATTTAAATTTGACATAAACTGATTTCTAGTGGTGTGAAACCAAGATTGAAGCTATTGTTAACATGCTAAACTCAAAGGATAAAATAGACCCCAGCAATTTTTAGGTATGCTTAATTGTTTAGCAAAATTTGTTCTTATAATGGCTACTCTGAAAACTCAGTTAAGGTAGCTGATGTTATAAGACATGGAAATGCCAGTACATAAGATGTATTTATAATACATTGAAAGAATTATTGACGTGTAGCTGACTACTTAAATGGGATGGTAGAAACAATTATACAGACTGCAAACAGAATGTTAGAGAAGCTGGATGATTCTGATTTTTATTTGCGTCTTTGAGCTTATGGAAATAATCCTATTTGGACAAAAAGTCACCAGCATAATTACTGATGGGAAATGTTTGCAAACTAGGTTACCAGCAGGTAGCATTTTGTTAAACTCACAGGATGACTGCAGAGATATGCGTGAACAATTGAAGCATAGATAAGAAAACAGAATTATAATTGGGGGGGGGGAATTAACCCCTTACCTCCTTTAAGTGTGTGCGATCATGTGAATCTTAGACATAGTAAAATGTGAGGACTTGCCCAAGTTGTAAAAAAAAAAATCAAACTCCTAGATCCTGCTCTGTGCAAATGGCTGAAGTTTATTGAAAAAATTGATAAAAGTTAAAGAAAGTTGAAAGATCTTATTCTGTCTTCATTCAAGCGCAGAGCATGGAATAAATTACAACTGGTGAGATCATTGCTAAAAAGGGCAACGATCTGATTTGGGGGGGGGGAACACGGACAATAGTGGTATTAAGGGGAGAAATGGAACATAAGCCAGTACAGTATGGAAATTTCGTACCTCAAAAAATCCTTTATTTACTTGTGAGTTGAATAGAATATGTACAGTATATATAAAAAAAGACAAACATGTGTTTAAGCCTGCAAGTTACTAGCGAGAACCTGTCTGCATATTAGCAAACATGACTGTCACCTTCACGAAGAGAAAGCAGTAAAATCTGAAAAGTTCTACACTGCATGTATGTATTAAGATGTATCTTGCCTGTTTTATTCAAATATAAAACTAAATTTGCCTTCATGAGCGTCAAAATGTGAGCTATAGTACACAGCAAATGAAGGATTCTTAGTTATGAGCAGTTGATTTGACAAAGAAAGAATTCACTGAAGCCATACCACACAAGGCCCTTACCTGAAGCGTAGTAATTTCTTTCTTGATGAGAAAGCAGATTTGTTCTCTGTCAGAATGAGAGTAATAAAGGCGACAGCTTGATGGATTCCCATCTCTCCCTGCCCTTCCTGATTCTTGGTAATATCCAGCCATTGATTTTGAAATATTCCAGTGTGCAACGAATCTGTGTGATATGACCAATAATAATCTTTACATAGGATACATCTAAAATACATTTAAAATATATCCATATTAAAGGCCAACATAACCACAGCAATAAATGTAGGCCAGTTTATGATTCCTTCCCCCCCCCGCCCCTATTTTATTAAATGAAAAGAAGCAAAAATATATACTTCCTGATACTGAAAGCACAGTTTGTTTGGCTACTTGGTGATCATTTTGCATATACCTGACGTTGGGTTTGTCAACTCCCATTCCAAAACTGATAGTAGCAACAATGACTGGAAATTTTTCCTCCATCCATTCATTTTGAATGGAGGTTCGCTCTACCAGCTTCAGCCCTTAGGAAAAAAAAAAAGGACAATAGTATAATATCAGCAGACTTTATCTTTATCCATCCATTTATCCATTTTTTTCTTACACTTATATGTCATGAAATACATGTTGGAACAGCATCTTAGAGACTGTAGATGGGCCATCAAATCTGACTCATCTCTATCTCAGAAAACTAAGCAGAAGAGCAGGTGCTGTACTGGGCATTCTTTTTTTTTTTAAGTCTCACTCCAGAAAAAATATTGCATAGAGAAGGCAACATATCAAGTGCAGTAAGAAACATTATGGTTAACTGTGGTTAAGGAGTTGGATCTGGAGCAGGAAGACCCAGGTTCTAGTCCTCCCTCTTAAGCATAGAAGTCAGCAACTTTGTGCCAGTCACTCCCTCTTAGCCCTAATCAGTGTTGAGCTCTGCAATAAGCTATCTGTTAAACAAAATACCCATATCACAACATATATTGATAGCTTCATGTATGCAATGGGCAAACACTGTGTAAAAACAAATAAATCCTGTAACCATAAGGAACTAATATTAAGAACAAGATTAACATTCATAAATGTTATTAAATATAGGGTGATAGTATTCTATTGTCGTGGTTTTTGTTCACTTTGTTTTCTTCTCCTTATGATACAATGTTATTCATATATTAATGAAAATTGTATTGTTTAGATAACACAGAATAATGACAATAAAGGGGAACAAAAGATATTATACCAGTATTAATTACAACTTAGGATATTGATTAGGAGCATAATGTAATTTGACTTTTTCATTCAAAATTGAATATAACATTAGAAAACAGAAACTGCTGCAGACTGCATCAAAATATCCCTTATACCGGGGTTGCCAACTTTTTGGACCTCAGGGACCACCAAACTCATAATTTTAGATCCCAGGGACCACTAACTGGTTCTATGAGCGTGGCCTAATAGGTGGTGTGGCTGGCTGGGCATGGCTTATATGTAAATATTATAAATATTTATATAAATATTGAATTTTTTATAAAAAAGAGCAACTTTTACCCAAAATCAGGCAAAGAAGGCTGGCAGATTGAGTTGCTCACAGAATCACAGTTTCATTCAGAAATCTATCTATCTGCCATTGGCTAATTCAGTCTGTCACATCAAATTTGCTTGCAAGCAAACTCACAAAATTAACTCACAACATACCATGTATGTAAATATCGAATTTTTTTTATAAAAAACAACTTTTATCCAAAATCAGGCAAAGCAGGCAGACTGAGTTGCTCACAGAATCATTCAGTGAGCTATCTATCTGCCATCGGCTTGCTCAGTCTCTCAAATTTGCTTGCAAGCAAATCTTCAGTCCTAAAGGAGGTTCAGCTGTGCTTAGCTAGAAAGCAAGAAATCCAACCATTTCCTGCTTTCTAGCTAATCTAAATCTCCAAGCACAACAGAACAGATGATGGTCGGAAAAAGGAAAAATAGCAACTTAGCAGACAAATTTGTCGGGTAAGGAGTGAGTGGGCAGGGGGGGTTCCCGCAGGCCATGTGGGCTGAGCAGCCTTGTGTTTCTACGCAGCCTGGATTAATTGCTTTGTGGGGGTGAGATTTCTCTGCGGCCCACCAAAATTTTCTCACGGCCCACCAGTGGGCCATGGCCCACCGGTTGGCGACCACTGCCTTATACAATAAAATTTCAGCCTTGAGCTGATTATTTAGTGCTAAAGTCTTCACTATGCACTCTAACAATATTTAAAATGTTTTTAAAAATAGTAATTTTAAAAAGAGAATAAAAAGAACTATTGGGTTTCTAATTGCCCCTTTTTTGTATATCTGCTAATTTACAATATTGTAGACGTCTAAGTCCTTTAGAAGCCAGACTGAAAATGACTATATTTGCCATACTGAGTGATATATTGTATATATGGGAACCTTCTTGCTTAAATTTACTTAAAATTCTACTCTGTATATACAGTTTGGCTTTACTGCATATTCTCTAAGATTAAGTTTTCACTCAGATATTGTCAGATCTTCTAGTATTGAGCAAAATTTATTCTCACTGCTAGAAGCATTTATTTCAGTAAATTGTTTTTTTTTCTGAGATTATATCTGTTTGAAATATCCTGTTTGAAATATCATGTATATCAAACATTAACTTCTAATTATTATATTTTAAGTTATGAAAATGCTTGCTTACAGGGCCCTGTTTTATTTTGATCAATGCCCATAAAATTACACAAAAAAATTGCATTTCTTGACTAGATCAGAATAAAGGCTAAGAAACTTTTTTTTGCACACTAAATAATTGCTTGGAGTGGAAAGAAACAGAGCTTTCATTACCTGCATGATATGCCTTTGCTTTTACTCCTCTATTGCTTAGCTCAATAGACACTTGTTCACAAGCATCTCTCATCCTGCAGTAGATAATTCCACAGCCAGGATACCCCTGCACAGAGGAAAAGAGAATGAAGCTAACATTAGCATCATAAGGAAATGCAACAATAAACAAGCTACAGATATGAAGGACTAAAAGATAAGTTTTCATATGCTTGGCTTAGGGTTAATACTACACATATTTTATACAGAAGCCAACAGATTCTCATGAACCTTTTGATTTTGTACCAGAACTTGTACCAAAGTCTGAATGGTATCTGCTACACTGAACAGTCAAGCCAAAAAAGACTATCAGTGGACAATGTTTATATTTTCTGACTCCAGCCATTCATATAGAACAGAATTAGAGTACTATGGTCCCTATGACTTGTGGACTTTAACTCACAGAATTCCTGAGCCAGCATGGCTGACTCAGGAATTCTGGGAATTGAAATCCATAAGTCATAAAAGGGCCACAGTTCCCCGCTTGATTATAAATTTATTTATAATTGTTTATTTCAAATATTTATATGGTTGCCCAACTTGTAAAACACAACTCTGGGTGGCTCTGGATTTTAATTTAGTATTAAACTATCTAATTATTATTAGACTCATATCCTGCTTTTTCTCAGGGAGCGCTAGGTAGCATACATAGCATCCTTTTCTCTGATGTCTTCTGTAACAATCTGTGGGGTACACTGGGTTAAGAAACAGTGAGTGGCCCAAGAATGTCTATGACTGATCCTGGATACGAACCTGGGATCAACAGCTTAACCACACTGCCTCTTTAAAAAATACCTGTAGCTTTCTTTTTTTTAAATCAATATAGACTACGCAAACTTGTGTCACCTTATGGGAAAAAGAATAAAGTAACATTGTATTTATTCTGTTTCCAATCAGGTGACACAGGTTCTGTTTACTCCACAATAAGCTAGATTTCTATAACACTTACATTAGTTTATATAATCTTCTATTCCTATACAATATTTATATAGTCTGCATTTTCATGTACAGTCCTTTTGCTGCAATCTGACTCTGCCAAGCTAATCAAGAATTCAAACTCCCATGTGCTGCTAAAAAGTTCATACTTGCTTAATGAAATCTGTAGGGTTTGAATTCTTTCTTTTGAACCTTTTGGATACATGTCACCTATGTACTTATTTATTTATATCCCTCCATTATTCCTGCATATCTAGAATATTGCGAGAATGGGATTATAGTTCTCCATATGCTGTCTAATAAACTTTTCCAGTAGCCCAAGTTAATGTGGGCAATGCTGAGGGCTGTTGAGATCTAGCAATAAAGAAAATTTAAGAGGATCACAGCTTCCCTTCATGGATATATAGGCAGTCTTTGACTTACGACCACAATTGAGCCCAAAATTTCTGTTGCTGAGTGACACAGTTGCTAGGTGAATTTTGACCCATTTTATGACCTTTTTTGCCACAGTTGTTAAGTGAATCACTGCAGCTGCTAAGTTAGTAACCCAGCTGTTAAGTGAATCTGGCTTTCCCATTGACTTGGCTTGTCAGAAGGTCACAAAAAGGTGATCACGTGAGTTTGGAATATAGAAATGGCCGTAAATATGGACCAGTTGCTAAGCATCTGAATTTTGATCATATGGGATCATGGGGATGCTGCAAAGATTGTAACTGTGAAAAATGATCATAAGTCACTTTTTTCAGTGTCATAATTTTGAATGGTTACTTAATGAACTGTTGTAAATCAAGGACTACCTGTACATAATTATTCTTTCTGAAATACTGTTTATCATTTAGCTGTTTTTTCTGAAAAAAAGCCACTTCAACAGAATTATCCCATGCATGTCTACTCAGAAATAAATCTTGAGTATAGTTTTGACTGAACTATATACTTTTGAACCTCTTAAATATTGATATTATCCATGAAGCTACAGGTATATTTCACAGCTGAGTTCCTAGTTATTTCTCTATAGATGCATGTGATGTCTTATGTATGTTCTGTCAGGGAATTCCTCTCTCTAAACAAATAGCAAAGGAAATATGCTTCAATCCAAGTTTTGTCCTATCATGTTAGTTGTAAGTTACCTAAGACCAAGAAGCCACAAGCAACCTTTTTTTAATAGAGATTTCACTCACCCCTAATTCATTTTGCTGTCCAAGAGACTTCAGACAGAAATCCTTCAGATTTTCATAGGGATCTGCTAAAAGGTCTTTAAACTGCACATCGTAGAACAGATTGGGCCTGAAGCAAGGTGTCCTGAAAGTGGCAACAGGCTGCTTTAGCTTCAGCAGGGCTATAATATCTTCCTGAACTTGCTTAGTAGCTGTGGCTGTCAGGGCTATGCATGATATATTGGGCATGCGACAACGCAAGGAGCCAAGATGCAAATAGTCCGGTCGGAAGTCATGCCCCCACTGGGAAACACAGTGAGCTTCATCAACTACCAGGTAAGAGATAAGATTTTGAGACATTAGACGTTCCAAGGAGGGCCGAAAAGAAGCAGAAGCTGCCATCTCTGGAGTGATGTACAATAACTTTATCTTAGGATGGTCACTTGTCAAGTCAGCAAGGATGGCTTTTCTCTCCTGAGCGGACATCTTGGAATTAAAAGAGCTCACTCTGACTTTGAGAGAGAGCAAATGATCCACTTGGTCCTACGGAAAAAGTGAAAGGTACTTTACAGAAAGAAACTGACCAGCCAACTGCTGCAATTTGAAGATTAAACAAGTTGATTAAAGAAAGATGACAATGAGCATCATCCATTATAGTATCAAGATTAAAAACAATGAATTCCTTGAATTTTTATTTACATGAAATTTCTAAACACCTAAAAAGTTTGACAGAAAAAGATAATTCAGAACAATTACATATATAATCTCCTGTGGCAATGCCTGAAGGCCAAAGAAAATGCTAATTCCAGAATTTCCAATTACTTTCAGTTATGAGACTGAACTATGCAATAACCTGTACTTATTGATCTGAATTAAGCTAACAAGCTCTTCAGAAAAGGCTGATTTCAAGACATTTTTCTATTTAAAGAAATGTATTTCTTCTTTCAAATATGTAATTATAGAAGATACCTGAATAAGTGAAATTAATGGTGAAATCACTATCGTGATGCCCTTTGCCAAAACTGCTGGAAGCTGATAACACAGAGATTTCCCTGCTCCTGTTGGCATACATACAAATACATCCTTTCCCCCTGCAAAAGCAACAACAAAATGGACAAAGATCTTTTTTTTCAATTACAAGTGTCTCTAGATTCTGTTTTGAAAACCAGAACATTTTTTTTCCTAGGATATGCATAGGATATCAAATCTTACATATATCCATATAAGCACAAGACTACCATGACAACTCATTATAGTAAAACATATTAGAGCTAGGTACTCTATGAAAATGATTTAAAAGAAATGTTTTAAGTGAACTTGATTTTCTGCTGTTCATTGACAGAACCTATTTTTTTTTTCAGTCTGAGTCCAGAAAAAAGGTACCAGAGATTATGTTTAATGAGTGGATTTTGGTATCATATACCGAGATATTATTTAAACGAGGCTCTAAATTGGCCATCAAAAGGCTACAAAGCCCCATAGCAATCACCATGTCTTACTCACTGATGTTGCTGAAATGTGTCCATGGGCTTCATTCTTACATGGAGTGCCCATGAAATTAATCAAATGTAACTGGAACTATGACATTTGCACTTCTGGGTCCCATATAATAAATTATTTTTTTAAGAAAACTCCTCCTTGTTAAAAAAGCCCTGTATGCATGCACATTATCAGGTCTCAGTTTTTTGGCACAGCATGCTCTTTTGGTATAGCAGCTGCAGGACAAAGGAAAGATGGAGCAGAATGTCATGGTGAGGAGAACAAGCTCTTTGCAGTTGTTTTTTCTAGGTGATAGATGGGACTGGATTTCTATTTGCTTTAATTTCAGCCAATAGCACACAACTAATATTGATTTTTTAAATTAAGGTGAAATGGTTCATTTTTGTGGGTCAGAAAAATAGCCATGAGTTATAGGTAGTCCTCAACTTACAATAGTTCATTTAGTGGCTATTCAAAGTTACAACAGTACTGAAAAAAGTGGTCAAGCTATTTATATTTGGATGCTTGACAGATGGTTCATATTTATGATGTTGCAGTGTCCTGGGATCATGTGATCATCTTTTGCAACCCTCTGACAAAAAAAGACAATGGGGAAGCCAGATTCACTTAACAACCTGTTACTAATTTAACAAACTTCAGTGATTCACTTAACAAATATGGTAAGAAAAGTCGTAAAATGGGCCAAAATTCACTTAGCAAATTTCTCACTTAACAACAAAAATTATGGGCTCAATTGTGATCATAAGTTGAGGACTACCTGTGCAGTTTTATTTGATTTCCATTCTAGGAATGACCAAATTTGACTCCAGTCCATAGCTCTTCAGTTTGGATGTATTATGAAATTACTGTTAACTGAAAACTTTCAGTATAAATTGTAGTAAATCACATTTCAGTTTAGGGATAAGCCAGAGTCATCCAAATTGATGTAAAATCTAATACCGGGCAAGCACTCTGTAAATGTATTAGGATTGTAACACATTTGCATGACTTCTCAGCTAGCATGACCTTTGGAACTTGCAATTCATTTTCTTAGAAATGGGTCTGTTTAATGGGGTTTATTTCCCAGATAAATCCATTTTTACTACAAATTTGGCCAAGTTCAATTACTCATTTTAAGAGAGTCTAGGGAAATCTGGAACTGAAATAATAAATCTAAAAGATTTTCTGTAATTTCAGCAGTAGAAAAAAGTCTTTTAAAATATTCAGAGCTTTTTCACTGTACGTTTTTATCTTATTGTTGCAGGGAATAGAATTTAATACTTGCCATGTTTTGGGAAGCTGGGAATCTTTGAATGACATGTTAAAAATATTTTACACTGTCATAAAAAGTACTTGTGATTTACCTTTTACCACAGTCATAGTTGCACTTCCTTGCAATGAAGTCTTGAAAGAGTTAAATCCAAAAACTTTTGTCAGAGTTTGCAGAACTCTATCTTCCAATCTTGAAGAAGAGATGTTACTCATCTTAAAAGCCAATACTAGGAGTAATTCAAACTAGAGGTAAGGAGAGGGCCTTCATGCAATTATTTTCTTTTCTTGCAAACCATCACCTGTATAGGCATAACAGATGTACTTCAATAATACCATCTTCTTTAAAATGAAATATAATTTATTTTTATACAACCATCACCATGCCAGTTATATTCTCTGATCTAGTAAAATACAAAAGGGTTCTTACTATTCATTAGCCTATAGAAAAAGCAAAACTATAAATATATTGGATTATAATCCAGAGACTAAAAGAACCTAGGCACAAGAAATGTAACTTATTTTCTTGCTTTTTTGGAATGCAGATTATTATCTTATAATGTGTACTACTTTTTCTATTGCCTTGCAGCTGTGTCCCAACCTGCTCAATTCCATGCGATGTTCTAAACAATAGAGAAGCAGCTGCCTCTTCAGGTTGTTTTTCTTCTTCCCAGTTTAGGCTATAGTTTTGGGATTGTTCAAGGGGTGATCAAGCAAGTACTGAGCCAAATCTTAGCTTTTTTACGTCAGCCTTAAATACTCCACAAAATGGAGTATCTAATCCAAGAATTAGAAGAATATGGGGCGATAGCAGGACTAAAAATTAATAAAGATAAAACAAAAGTAATAACCAAAAACTTGATAGAAAGTCATAAAAAACAATTGGAAAGGAAATTGGGACTACAAAATGTCAAAAAACTTAAGCATCTAGGACTTTGGTTAACAGGAAGATGCTCTTCCATAAAAGAGGATAATTATAGGAAATTACTTTCACAGATAAAGAAAGATCTGGCCAATTGGGGAAAATTACAACTATCATTATTAGGCCAAATAGTGGCCATAAAAATGAACATACTACCAAAACTATTATACTATTTTCAAACAATACCTATAAAATTGGATAAGAATTTTTTTCAGGAATTAGATAGGACGGTAATGAAAGGTATATGGATAGGGAAAAAAGCACGAATAAAATTGAAAACGTTACAAGATAGTGGAACCAGAGGCGGCCTTGGACTCCCAAAATGGGAAACATATTATCAAGCAGCAATTTTACTATGGGTTAAGGAGTGGATAAACTTAAAAAAATAAAAGAATTTTATTTGGGTGGCATGCCTTTCTATGGGATAAAAAGAATAAGATCCACTCCAATTTCCATAGACATTTGATAAGGGATTCACTTTTACAAACATGGGAGAAAATAAAAAAAGCATTATTTGAAAAGACCAAACTGGATCTCACCTATGGAAGCTATATTATATCCAAATACAAGGGACACTAAAAAAATGATTAGATATAAAGAATTGGTTGATGAACAGGGGGAATTAAAACACTGGGTAAACTAAAAAAACAAGGGATAATATTAGACTGGTGGGTATATTTGCAAATTCAAACTAAATTTAAGAAAGATGTAAAGGAGCTAGGGATAGATAGACTTACAAAAATTGGACCAAATCTTGACAGGCAAGGATATAAAATTTATAACACGAACATATAATTATTTACTGGAGGTAGAACTAGATGAGGAAATTGTTAAGGGACCAGTGATTGCCTGGGCAAGAAATGTGGGTCATAATATAAATTTGGATGAGTGGGAAAAGACTTGGTCTGAGAATTGGAAGCTGACTTTGTCGACGGCATTCAAAGAAAATCAATATAAAATGTTTTGTAGATGCCACTTAGCGCAGGCATGACTGATGAAAATGTATCCAACCTTGAAATCAAAATGCTGGAAGTGCAAACAAAAGAAAGGGACATTTTTCCATATGTGGTGGCAATGTATAGAGGTCAAAAAATACTGGAAGAAAATACAGAGATGGCTTTTTGAGATTACAAAATATAAATTGAATTTGGAACCTGGAACGTTTTTATTAGGTATGATCAAAGGGAATTTGAGTAAAGATAAAAGATACCTTATTGTACACATTTTAACCGCAGCAAGAATCACTTTAGCACAAAATTGGAAAAGTAATAAAATGTCACCAGATGAAGTTCTGATTCAAAAAATAATGGACTGTGCTGAACTAGATAAATTCACTATGGAACTGAAAGGCAAAGAAGATCGAGAATACTATGCAACATGAGAGAGGTGGTACGAAGGATAAAAATAATGTATAGTCACAAAATAAGAAACATGTATATACAATGACACAAAACTGTTAATGGAAATGAGCTTTTTGTATTTTTTGTTTTTTAAGAATAATTTTTTTAAAAAAACTGCTCCACAAAATACGATTTTTTTTAAGGTCAGAAAGTACTCCACAAAATGCATCTTTTAAATTCGCACGATATAATATTTAACCCTTCAAGGAGGGGGTGAGCTTGGAGAACAAATCGCTATTTAACCGACACTTAACTCTTGACACCAATTTGAATTTCCCGACCTTTTTATTATCACTTTTCTCAAATTACTTTCTAACGCAGATCTGCCAGAGAAAACCTAGCAGGTTCGAAGAGGTACGATGAAAAAAAGTTCAGACCCTTGTCCGCGGATAGAGGTTAAAAAAATCGGCGGGATTAAAATAATCTCTAGGTATAGACCACTCCAACCTTTTCCATCTGAGGGAAGCCGAGACCGAAACTCGAGACCGCGGCCGCGCGGGGAAGCGTTTTAATGCAGCCATAAACTAGCTATTAAATTTCTTTCCTTCCCAGCTCTCCGAAACTATGTTCTTGCGCCATAGGCCTCAATGAGGGCGCAGCCGTTGCCAGAATCCCGGTTAATTCAGACAGCTTTGTATTCCAGCAGCATCGGGGACTTCGGCATCGCTTCAGCGCGGGTTGATGACGTAAGAGGCCGATGAAGAGCCGAGACTTTTTTTGGTGTGGGCGGAAATGCTCTTCCACTGTGTTGAACGACACCCAGCAGTACACGGAATCCTCCTTGGGAGGGAGGGAAATACCTGGGGGGGGGGGGGGGGGAGGAGATTGGTCCGCGGCTATCGCGATCCCGAACAGAAGGACGGTAGTTCCGGCGATCACTTCGCTAACGCCATTTTCTTGCGCCGGAAGAGAATTCAAACGGAGTTCCAAAAGGAAGATGGCGGCGGCGGCGAAAAAAAGCGTTCTATCTTCCTTGGCGGTTTATGCGGAAGATTCCGAGCCCGAGTCTGATAGCGAGGCCGGCGGAGTCGGTAGCGATCGAGGAGGAGGGACGGGTGAGGCCTTGGGGCGGCGGCTGGCGGTGGTGGCTGTTTGGTTGGGTTTAATAAGACGCCATGCCTCGTTTCTTCTTTGAAAGCTGATCGGGATGGCTCCTGATCAGCTTCAAGTCTTTGCTGGGTATCCTGATGCATCATAGGGTTGGCTTCGGCTTCGTGTTCAGGGAGGTAGGATAAATGGCTTTATTCGCCGTTGAAGCTTTCTCCTCCCTCCACCCTCCGTTTCCCGGTAGGGTTTTGGCGCCCCTGTTTTTCTTGACTGATGGGTGTTGTGGCGGTACATTCCTCTCGAATGTTCTTGGGCGGATAATTTGGCTTTTGGAGAAGGTGCCTTTCTGAAAATATGAAGCACCTTTTTTATTTGGCTACGCTGTTAATTAACTTTAACCCAACACGGTTACTTACAGCGACTGCTTTCTTCAGCCTCTAAACTAAAGTGTGAGTTCTACCATACCGTTTGTTAGATAAAATATCAGACATTTGATTTGGTATGTTTAGCGTTGGTGTTTAAAAGACCTAAAATGTGATCTGTTCTCCCCACCAATCCTAAAACTAGATAAAGAGAACCCAATTAAACAAGTGAGCCAAAAGATATTTAATGATTTGTTGGGGAAAATGATCCAGAACTGCATACCTATCTGTGTGTGGCAAATGTATGTGAACCTTTGTTTTCAGTAACTGATACTGCCACCACCATGTCTCACAAATGGGATAAAGTTCTTATTCTGAAATACAGTGTTTGCCTTTCACCAAACATGTTTTTCATTCAAGTCAGAAATTTCTATTTTGGTCTTATCTGTGCACAGAACATTCTTCCAGTTGCCTTCTGGTTTATCTGCATGGTCTTTCGCAAATGGTAGATGGACAACAATTTTCTTCGTTTGGAGAGTAATGGCTTTCTCCTTGCAACCCTGCCAGGTACACCGTTGTTGTTCAGTGTTTTTCTGATGATGGTTTCACAAACACTGACATTCACCAGTGCAAAAAGGCCTTTAGTTCTTTAGATGTTACCGTGGGCCTCTTTGAGACCTCCTGAAGTATTACACACCTTGCCTTTTGTATGGTCATGGTTGGTCAACTATTCCTGGTAAGGGTAACGGTGTTGAATTATTTCTATTTGAACAGTGTGCCTGAAAGTGGACTGATAGAATCCAAACTCTTTGGAAATAATTTTGTAACATTTTCTAGCCTGGTTAGAATCAACAATATTTTGGGGGAGATGCTTAAAAACCTCCCTTGTTTGAGCCATAACACATTTCCCTTTACCTGTGTTGCAAAGATCAAGCTTTGAAGTGAATACTCAGAATTCCATTATTTAAAAAAGGCAAACCTTCCACACATCACACCTTATTATCTTCCCATTGATTGAAACCCCTGAATTTCCCCTTTACATGAACTGATAATCCTAGAACATGGGTGCCAAATTTGCGGCGTCATGTTGCCGTCACATGACGTTTTGCAACGTTCACGGAGCTAGGGTGGGCATGGCTTGCATGTGACACATCTGGGCTGCAGGGTGCCAGTTTGACACCCGTACCCTAGAGGGTCATTACTTTAGCCACTTTACAAGTTTGTGTCTTTCCTAAGTAAATACATGAATTATAATGTTTTCACTCATTTGTTTATTTGGCTTTTAGTTTTAGTAAACTAGTTTTAGTATCTGTATGGAGAACAGATGTTTTAGGTTATATTTCTGCAGAAATATTGTAAATTTAAACAAGTTCACACACCTTTAGGTATATGCAAAACAGTAAGACTAATGCCTGGTATTTTACTGGACAGTTAGCAAGGAAGAACTTACACTATAGAGGGGCTGAAGAAAAGTTACTTAAGTAAAATATATTTCTTGTTTAGCAGGGTAGTTTTATTTCAGCAGGTATGTTTATGTGATTTTGTACAACAGTATCTTCTGCATATATTTTCACTGGGTTGCAAAGTAACTATTAACCATTTTCTTCCCTCTTTGGATGGTTCAGAAGAAAAAGGTGGTTTGGTATCAGAAAGCTATGGAGAAGATGACTTCAGTAAAATGGAAGGAGAAGAGGATGGTTATGATGAAGATGATGATGAAAACAGCAGACAGTCAGTAGGTATTTTGTTATACAGAAATCATAACTTGGATTGCAGGTTTCACTAGAGCATAATAGGAATATTAACTTTTTGTATCTTTGTTGCTTTTGTCTATGTATATTGTATTTGAAGTTATCACAGAATTGCTAGAGGAACGCTTAAATAATATGGAAAAACGCATTATTTATCCTTAACTTCCTTCAGTGGAAATGCATTTTTGTTTGCAAGATCAAATTTTAATGTTTTAATTTAATAACGTTTTAATTTAACGATCCATTTTATAGATGATGTACACATGACATTTCTAGATTCTAGAAGTACATTTCTAGATTCAGAATTTAAAAGTAAAAAAATAAATTGATAAAAACAACTGTAACATGATTATAAGATAGTAACCAATACACCATTATTTCTTCCACCCATGCGTTGCTTGAACTAATTATTCTTGCAAAGCTTTTAAAATGTAGCTTCTCTTCTATGTTCCTTTTTTTTTTCTTTAGATAACTTTCTCTTCTTTGGCCAGGATGTTAGATGATCCCATTCTATGATCATTAATTTGAAATGTATTGTTTTTATTACTCTTGGGTATGATATATTTTTGTTTTCTTGCTTTTAATCTAATGCTGAGTGCCCAGAGTTGCAACTGTGAATTGGGCAGCTCTCTAAATTGATAATTAAAAGCAGTCTTCAAACAGTATTTCAAAATTGCCAGTTTTTCAAGTGATCATTTATACCAAGATATACTGTGGCATTTCCCAAGCATGTTCTCCTTTTATAATGTATTATCCCTTCAGCTTGGGTTAAGTTTCCCTGTAACTTTTCCATTCCTATATGCATCTCTATTCAGTTTTGTATTATCTCCAAATACCTATTATTTAGATATATAATTCTTATAAATGAGTGGCATGAAAATACTTCTGATTCCTGCTTAAAATGAAATGTAATATGACATTCCTGGATGACCTCTTGAAAATACAAAGGGACGCTAATCTGAGTAGTAGAATAAGTATATTGCTCATCTACTTTGACTAAACACTTAGTTTTTATTTCAAGAAGAATCATTTTTCCATATGAATAAATCCCAAGGATATTTAAAGCAGGAGAAATCAGTTTTAAAAAAAACACCGCTTGCTTTATAGCTGATAACAACATCCAATATTCAGGCTAATGCTGTTGCATGAACACCTCAGAATAAGTTCATAAAGGTAGCACAGTTCATCTAAGTGAGATTCTATATCTTTACACTGATTGGCAGAATCTATAAGTGCTATCAAAAGCATCTGCAGATGGGGGCTTATTCAAACATCATAATACAAATATTTGAATATCACAATGCAAATCCCACTTGTGTGCATGCATCAGTATATTTGCTCAAAAAGTCTCCTATTTTGCTTATTTTGATATCCTCTGCAGATGGTTATTACTGTATACAAGACACATCCAGGACACCTGTTCAAGATTCCTGCCATTTCTTTTAGATCAGATAGTAGCAATAAGAGGGAGAATTGTGTAGTAGTAATATTAATATTGGTACCTCATCCCAAACCTCTACCACAATATTGATGTTTCATGCAGCTATGTTAAAATTAAATTACAGAGTTATGACATAATGCTGTTTGTAAATTCTTCTAAGCTTAACTTTAAATAATGGTATTCCATTCTTCATATTAAAGAAAGCATATTTGTAATTTTTAAAATTTCATAATGTAGCAAAAAAATTAGGTGATCCTTTTTGTTGTAGGCATTCCTATAACTGATTATTCAGTATTTAATCTCATGTTGAGTTTGAAATAAGTACGTAAAGTAGAATCTGGGTAGCAAATCTGGATAACTTCAGTTACAGAAAACACAGTGGATGTGATAATAAATGTGGATGCTGTAACTTATTGAACTCTAAAGTAGAAGTGTTACAGAATTTCAGGGATGTTGTTTAGCAATGAAAAACCATGCTATTGATTGATAATACAGTTCTATGGTAGTAGTTATATGCTAGTCTTTGGAAAAGTGCTCTTTCTCATTGTTCCATTGTATGCAAGAAAACCGTCAAGCTCAGAAGGGCACTAAGTATATGGCTAATTGTCCTCATGTTTGTGTGACCTGCTTTATTTATTAGAATAAAATTGGCAAAAATAATTCTCTACTGATAAAATTTATCCTATCTGCTGACTTGTGATGCCTTTTTTTAAAAAAAGAAACCCAGTATTGTACGAGTTCCTAAAATCAACTCTGCCATCTTAGAAGTAATCTTAACTTGCTTACATTTCCTTGAATGCTTGTTTTAACAGAGCTTGGGAAAGAAGTTGAGAAAGCAGCCCAGCTGCATTAAAAAGTAAAATTGGGCTATTTAGTACAAGTCCCTTGCCAAATACACAACTTGCTGACAATTTAAAGCTTAATTCTGTACATTCTTTGTCTTATAGGAAGAAGACGATTCAGAGACTGAAAAACCTGAGGCTGATGATCTGAAGGTATTTGGAAGAGTATTATAATGGGATGGGAATACACTGCGAAGCTTATAAAAGCGTGATTTAGTTAGTCATCTGTATCTTCTATTCTTGACATAATAACTCTTGTTTGGAGAGTGGTAGATGGCTCCTGAGATGTCCTGAGAAGTCAGGAGGACTCAACACCTTTTCAGACTAACAGGTTTTTATTAAACGATGTAAGATTTTGTGAATGCAGTT